GTGTGTGTGTGTGTGTGTGTGTGTGTGTGTGTGTGTGTGTGTGTGTGTGTGTGTGTGTGTGTGTGTGTGTGTGTGTGTGTGTGTGTGTGTGTGTGTGTGTGTGTGTGTGTGTGTGCGTGTGCGTGTGCGTGTGCGTGTGCGTGTGCGTGTGTGTGTGTGTAATATAAAAATATATAATATACAAAGATTATAATAAAACAAGATATAATATTAATCGTACTATTCCGTTTTCCTTGTTTTTCTTGAATTACTTTTTGCAAGAATAAGTGAACAAAATTCTAATAGTAATTATTGTGTACAACTGTATGAGTATGATATACAAAAGCCAGTCACGAATGGTCTTAATCAATGATGTATGTTATGTATGATATAATACATTAGTCGAGCAAAATATCATGCGTGAACTTTATAGTACAAAGATCGTATTCCAAATATCATACACGCGTATTTGCATTTTATATGTGACAATATTAACAGTTATTAGAATTCATAAAGCATTAACGTTCTCGTGTTGTAAAATAAAGGAAATTTCCAATTTCCGCTGTATTCAAATTGTAAACACACTGAATATACAGAAGGATTATTTTTATTATCTTTTGCTGTATTATATTAGGAATTTTTTCCTGATTATTATGTTTGATTGATATTATTGATGGAATTAATAATAAAAAAAAATTTTACTTTTTCATAGAGGAAATTCTGTGAGATAAAATGCAAATTGAAAATTTCCATTGCTTCCTTATCATCAGGGAAAGTTGTTTTTTTAAGTTTGGCTTCCTCTTAGAGGAAGCTTGGTAAGTTGAGATGTAAATTGTTAATTCGCACGCACGCCTTCTTGTTTTTAGACTTTTTATAAGAATTCTAAAAATAAATTGTTCAATTTTTTCTTAAGTTTTCACCCCAAAGTAAACAAAATGACTTATCATCACATTAATAATAATTTGACGTACATTGTATTGTCGAGAGTCGCAGACTCATAAAGTATTCACGATAAGAGTAAATTGATAAATATATTGTCAAATATGATTATACTATCTATATAACTATATATAACTCTACTGATATTTTGAAATTTATTTCAATTTTGGCACTTGTGATTTGAGCAGTGTTACAATGTCCGTTTTCTATGCAATTATTGCAATTTGACGAATTAAAGTTTGGTTTTATTATAACATAACATGTCTATTGCAATTCCCAATAAATATAAAAATCTCTTGTTCTCCTTTTTTCTCTTTTTTTACAACACACAAAAATTAAAATATGTATTGTTTAAATATCAATTAATTATAATTAATTACATACACAATTTAAATTAATCTTATGAATGTAAAAAGTTTACCATATCTTATTTTATGGCACTTGATAATTTAGCAATATTTTTATTTTCTCTCTAACATTATATAATATCAAAATATTAGTCAATTAGGATTGATTATACATAATCATGTTAAATTAGAAGACATAGTTTCATTTAAAGATGCTTTTCGCAAAAATCACGCCGGTAAAATAATCCTTTGATATTTTGTCAGGTGTTAGATGAATGACAATAGAGCAGTTTCGTTGACGTAACATACGAGTACATTATGCGTAGTGTAGAGATACTAACCAATTGCTAGAGAAAAAGTTATTACGTGAGGGGACCAAGAACAAAGAGTGTATTACCAATTCAAAAAACATGTGACAGTAGCGTTTGAAACTTGAAATTTTCTTTTTAATTAATAGTTTTATAGTGTTAAAAAAGTTTGAAGAATTCCATATAATAAATTCTTCTTTTGATAAATCCTCTTTAGCTCTTTTGTAAAAAAAGTGTCATAAATATATACAAATTTGTAACTACTCAATTATTAATTTTATTATTCAATTATTTTCACTTATACACTTTACTCTACTTAATTAAATTTGGAATTGTAATTGGCTAAAGATAAAAAGATTTTAATAAATTTATTTATTATAAATAATATATAAATATTCTATATATAACTATAACAAATAAGATGTCTGTATATTAATTTTAAGTATTTGTTATTATTTAATTTGTTAACAGAATTTATTTAATATATTTTTCTCAATTGATAAGCATATATAAAAACGATAAATTAATTAATAAAATGTAAATTAATAATTATAATAGCCAAATTTAATACTTTTGATTATATTAATAATTTAGATTAACAAAATTTGAGAATTATATCGATAATAACTGGCACAATATATTTTGATTAATACACGACGTTTCGGCCAGTATAATTCTCGAATTTTGTTTTTTATTCACTGGCGATCCACCTCTTCAAAATTTAGATTAATTTTTGAATTTTTGTTTTGCGTAGGGGTATTTTTCGATTTCTTCAAGTTAACTTACGTCTTTGGTGGTGGGAGAAACGTGATTATACTGTTGCAAAGATTTTCTCAAAGTATGCGGCAGCTCATCCAAATAAAATCGCTTACATATTCGAGGACAAAGAGTGGACATATGAACAGGTAATATCTGACGCATAGACCGTTTGTATTCGTAAATTTGCACTGCGCATTTAACACTTGCGTCGATGATTGTCAAGACTAATTAGGGTTAATTAATTGATGACAGTTATTACAATTGCAATACATGTAAGCGCAAATTTTGAAAATTTTGAACTTGAAATAATTCAAACAATAACATAACAGTAATATAAATCACAAAAGCAAAACAATTAATAAATTATAGCCATTTCCTTTAAATGAAAAATTACTAAGATAATGTTTATTAAATTTATGAAATTTTAAGCGCAAAAATATCAGTTACAAGTATACTTTATATTCTTTTAATTAACGATATATTATAGCTATTAAAAATGAGGAAACAATTAAGACATTGACGTATTACGAATATCATAATTTCTTGGTAAATAGAAAAATCCAATGAAACTTTTGATTATACAATTTTGAAGTATTATGTACCCATAATTATTTTTTATGAATATGCATAAATCGCACACAGCTGGAACACTACAGTAATCGCGTTGGACGTTATTTCCGCACCAGGCCATTTTCTCATTTTGATAGTATAGCTCTCTTCATGGAAAATCGGCCTGAATACGTCGCTACCTGGTTGGGTCTTAGCAAAGCTAGTTTTGTAGCAGCTTTAATCAACACAAATCTTCGACACGATGTTCTTGTGCATAGCTTAAACGCTGCCAACTGCAAAGCTATCATTTTCGGGGCGGAATTTAAAGAAGGTGAGTTCTTCGATTTACATTGTAGACAAGTTATTTGTAATTTAAAGAATTAATTTTTACGTATAACATCTATCACACGACAAATAATGATTGTCTCGTATTTTATATGCAAAGAATACATGAAAATAAAGCGATTTTGCGTTTTTTGGAAAAACCAGGATTGATTATAATTACTTTCGTAATTTTACAATTACGAACTTTTAACTTTTTCAATACCGATTTATATGACTTTTACTTATTTTATTGATTTTAGTAGAACGTATATACATTTGCATGCATAAATTCTAACGACAATATTTATATTCTTAATGGTCTTCTTCTCTCTCCACACAATTATATTGATCATATTATCCTTAATTCGATTTTCTCTGGCAAATACACTTTCTAAGTGTACTTTCTATTATATGAGTGAAAATCTCTAAACTGTTAGCATTGCAAATATTATCGAAGCGTATCATGTGCAGCGATTCGTGACATCAAGGGTAAAGTACCTGACATTGAACTTTATCAATGGTCTGAGTCGGCGGACACACCGATTTTGGAAGGTGCAATAGATGTTAATACGGAAATCAGCAGCGTTGGTTCTGGGCCTCTCGTTCTAATTGACTATAGCAATCCCCGGGACAAATTGATTTACGTCTATACGTCTGGAACGACGGGAATGCCAAAGGCTGCTGTTATCAGCAATTTAAGGTGAGATTCTACGGATTGATTAGCTAGGCGCAAAAATAATTGAATAATTGAATTGATATTAAGTGTACATGGCAGAAATACGTGTGTATATATTATATAATACATACCTATATACATGTACAAATTATTTCAATATGAATTTATTAATTTGTGTTCCATTTACTGACTACGTATTTATATGTTATTACGAATGATAAGAAGAAATTAATAGTATAAAATTAGTAATTTAGTTTGTCGTCTTTGTCTCATTTTTGTATGTATGCTTCTTTATATTTAGCCACGTCTCGATGGCCGAAGCTCATCTAGTTGCGTGTCTTCTTTAATAAACTTTAATAAACTTTGATTAAGCAGTACGTTAATAAACTTCAATTAGAATTATCGCCAGGCTAAGAATAAATATCTGAAATACTACGTTGATAAATTCAGCTCAAATTTCTCACTTATTGTAAGTATTTTAATTAGGAAAAAAGTACACTCACATATTGTAGTATTAATAATATATAAGCTAACTCGTGAAAATTTTACATTTCTTTTTTGGCGTTATTGAAAGTCAATCCATAACATTAACATAAAATGTTTTTCTGCATTTACTTTTCTGTGTTGCTTTAAATAGTAAAATAAAAATCATTAATAGCTTGCATATACTATTTTTGCGTTTCTAGGTTCATGTTCATGACATGTGGCCCAAACGCCATGTTTAATCTACAATCGGATGATCGAATTTACAATCCTTTGCCTCTTTATCACAGCGCAGGTGGTATACTTGGCGCTGGTCAAGCACTCGTGAGAGGTGTTACAGTCGTGCTTCGTAGAAAATTTAGTGCGTCCAAGTATTGGTCGGATTGCGTTCATTATGAATGTACTGTAAGATCACTCTATTTTTTATATATTTTGTAGTTCCTTAAATTTTAAGTAGTCATAATTTAGTATTAGAAATATTAATTTTTATAGCTCTATAAGAAAATTTTTTATAAATATTAGACATTTTCTTGTAAATTTAACTATTTTTATTAAAATAATCATGTTTCTCCAAAATCGTTAAATAAAAAGTTCTTTAATTATATGTCTTTTAAAACCTGACACTAAGGTTGTGTTCAAATTAGAGAATGTTGTTTAATTATATATTTTTTATTACTACTGAAATTAACCTCTTTTTATTTAATATTTTCATAGATTCTCGTATTAATCATTTTCAATAATACAATCATTTATAATAATATAATTATATACATAGACAAAGCCGTTGGGCAATATTATTAGTATTAAAGTAGCAATCTTTTATATTTATATAGTATTAATTTATGTTGATCATATACATGAATGTAACATACGTTAATGTTTAGCATTTAACAAATTTCTACATCAGAATATTTTGAAATTATTACGTTTTTAATTACTTTTTAATAATAAAAATTATTTTTTATTTTACAGGTAGGGCAATATATTGGAGAAATATGCCGTTTTCTTCTTACAGTCCCACCAAGCGAATACGATAAGAAGCATAAAGTGCGCTTAATGTTGGGAAATGGTCTGAGACCGCAAATTTGGGAATCTTTTATTAAGAGATTTGGTGTGAAGCAAATAGGCGAGTTTTATGGGGCCACTGAAGGAATCTCAAATCTCGGTAAATAATTTGTTTGCTTGTCCTCAGTTAATCTCAGAAGAATTTCGTTATTTAAATCTATCTTAAATACAATAAACTTGTAACAGAAATAATAAATTTTCTTCTGCGTAATAATAATTAATTTTTATGGTAAATGCTGATGTGTTTTAGCTTCTTTTAATGAGTAAATAATAATTCAAAACAATTAAAAATACCGGGGCTTAATTGTTGGTTTAATAGTTTATTATTGTCAAGTGTGTAGTTATTTTCAAAATTATTTATATGATTTGCAGCCAATATTGACAATAAAATCGGTGCTGTTGGTTTTATGCCAAGATATGCTACTAAGTTGTATCCAGTTGCACTATTAAAAATTGATGAAGAGACAGGAGAGTTATTGAGGGGACCAGATGGATTATGCATCACGTGTAAACCTGGTATGTATCATTAAAATTTCATGTCATAAAAAATACGATCAATATTTTAATATTTTAGAAAAGTATTTTTCTTTCCCGTGTTAATGCAACGGATTTAATTTTATTTATTATAATAGTATAATATTACACTATTATAGCAAATTTTAAACATGCGTGCTGTATAAATAGGTATTAGAGTTTCAAGAAGATTTTGTCTTTTTCCATAATTTTTTTAAGAAATTGTCTAATGTAATTAGATATTATTGTGGTATACAATTTCATTAGTTAAAGTTTCTTGCTACAATTATACTACTTTTATATTATTTACTTAGGTGAGCATGGTATTTTTGTGGGTAAAATCAATCCAAAGAAAGTGATGAACGACTTTAACGGTTACGCGGATGCAAAGGCTTCAGAGCAAAAGATTATACATGATGTTTTCAAGAAGGGCGATCGCGTGTTTAACTCTGGTCAGTGTTAATATAAAACATAACTTAGCCTAATTACATAATTCATCACAAATATAATTATATATGATTAAATGAATTTTTCGAACAGGTGATATTTTAGTCATGGACGAACTTGGATACTTTTACTTCAAAGATAGAACTGGTGATACATTCAGGCATGTAGATATAACATATACATATATAGGATTAATATAATACAATCAGACCTATTTAAATATTATTATTATTAAAGTAAAAATTACCAAATAAATACAATTTTAATTAATAATATTATGTTGCTGAAATTGAAATATTAGATGGCGAGGTGAAAATGTTGCTACCTCGGAAGTAGAGGCTGTCGTAAGCAACGTGATAGGCCTCAAAGATACAACTGTATTTGGTGTCGAGGTAAATGACATTTAGATCCATTACTACATATATGTAGATACATACAACTTATTCATAAAATAACTGAGCTTACCTGAAAAAATGTAGAAGTATGTACATAATAAAACATCAATCCATCGGCCGTATCAATTATACATGTATGTACACAGGGTTGGAAAAGTTACTTTATAAACGTATCTAATCACAGTTACAAGTCACCAATTCCGAAAAGTAACGCGTTGCAATTACAATTACTCAAAACGAATCGTTACTTTGCAGTTACTTTCTTGCAATGAAAATAAATGAATGATGATGATAAATGACATATTAAACTTATCGATATTTATTTTAAAAAACGATTCAACATGCGTGTTTTGTCTCTCTCCATCCTTTTTAAGAAACACAATATCGATTCTCACAATGGCTACGTTCAGCAGAAAAAGCTGCTTTGCAACTGTTGTAAAATTCATGAATCTGATTGGCGTATTTCACTCTTAAATTCACTCCAGATTAAGAGAATACACTAATCAGATTCACGAATTTTACAACAGTTGCAAAGCAGCTTTTTCTGCTAAACGCAGCCAATGTCGTCATATGCTCCTAACGCCTTATCATAATTACTAGTTTATCTTAAAGGAGCTTATTAAAAAATGTTATTGTTAATAAAAATTTCCTATTATGCATAATTATGCGTTTTCAGGTACCTGGAAACGAGGGTAAAGCAGGAATGGTAGCTATTTACGATCCGGAAAATTCCTTGGACTTGAAAGGATTGGTAGGAAAGTTGAAGAAAGTTTTGCCGAACTACGCCATACCTCGTTTTCTTCGTATTGTATCGGAATTGCCAATGACTGGTAACAGAACCTAAATTTATTGTTGACGTCTTAAGTCGGATTGTATTTGTGTTATAATAATATAATTTACTTTGTTTACGCAGGAACATTTAAATTGAAAAAGATGAATCTTCAAAAAGATGGTTTTGATGTTAAAAAGGTATGTTCCGTCCTACCTGTTCCAATCCTTAAAATAGAAACGATAATTATAAGAATAATTATATACGTATACATTTTTTGCAGATTAAAGATCCAATTTATTTCCTTAGTAATGATACCTACGTAAGGATGACTGATGAACATTACAATAATATTGTCGAAGAAAAAATCCGATTATAATTCTTCCTTGCGGCATATTTTCTCATGGAAAAACATTCTTTCTAAGATAAAATGGGGGATTAAACTTACTGTTAGGGTAAAACGTTTTTACGATGTTAAGTTTCCAGTGTTAGTAAATTAATCTACTTATTGTTAGTCACTATTTTGTGGACCAATACAGCAGCATGTTTTCTTTCAAAAACGCATACTCGTATGCACAGAAACACGTGCTGTTTCGAAGAACAAAATAACATGAGGCACATTTTCCATTAGAATAAGTATCATGACTGATACTTCATAATTTATGAATTATTTGTATATCATGCAGAATCACAACAATGTGAATATTCCAGTGTAAATTGCAAAATAGCATAGATGATTCACTTAATTATGAAAAAAACAAGAGAGAGAAAGAGGAAATCTATTTTTTAGTTATATGTTTTAGATAGTTGTATTTTCTTAATTGTATTCCTTGCTTTATTTAATTTAAGTTTAGAAAGAACCAATTAAGCGCGTTTTATTTTGTATTTGCAGATATTTAACAGCAAGTTTATTATAAAAACTTTATAGTAATTTTAGTAAATGACTATAATGTAATGCAAGAATCTTAATGGATATAAAAGAGAACGAACAGCAAGAAAACAATATCAAGAATAACTTTTTCCATCTAGATTTTATTGCTAACTAATTGCAAAACTTATTAAATTTTTGAGTTGTAATTGTTTATTTATTAAGATTTACATGTGTATTTTGCTTCCAATAATTGAAAAAAAGTTTTAAATTAAAACATCGAAAATTTGCACAAACGCAACGATTGATATCTTACTTTCTTTCTGTACATATAAATTTATATACCAAATTGTAACATCGATATAACGTAATTATAATGTCTATATAAGTTAACTATAAAGTTGACATAAATTATATTAATTAGTCGATTAGTTTACGGATATTAAATCATTTTGTTAACTTAAATTTTTGACATTTAAAAGGTCCGTATACCTGAAAATCATATCACGTAATCAATATTGCATTATGTTATAAATTAAAATTTATCTGAAAGTGGTAGCAAAATTTCTATGTTTTCTTATCGTTTTTATATTTCTTTATTCTTTAGGGCATTAATATTTGAGAAATAACACGGTAATATAATTGATTGTATACTCTTGGTTTTGTGTGCAATCTACATCCGTCTTGTAATTCTCATTATACATGTAAGTAGTATACATATACATATACATCCCACATAGCACAATAGTTTCAAAAAATTTGTTTCTTTTTTAAATCCTTTTTTAAAAATACTTTTTCAAATTTTTTAATTATGAAATAAATTCTTTTTTAAAAGAATTCCATAGAAAACAATTCTCCGGGGAAAGAATTTATTTTGAGTTTGTAACAATTACCTGAGCTATTTGGGATGCGTTCCTAGAGAGGCATTTAAGATAGTTTAATATAAAATTTATTATTTACACATTTTACACGAACTGTTATTCTTGTACTATTAACAAATGACAATATTTTTCAGTCCCTGTGAAAATATGTATATATATATATATTCAGAAAAATGTCATAGAATTGTTGACGTCTATTTTTGAAAATGTATGATTGTTACAAAAATAAATAATTTTATCATGAAAAAAATATTTATTTCAACAGTTTTACATTTTTTTCCATTAAATAAAAGCAAGCAAGAGATAATGCAATATAATTTGAAAGTTATGGAATTATGTTGTAGCAGAAGAAAAATGTGTGTGTTTCATTCTGAATGATTATTATTGTTATTAAACTTGTAAAATTGTCATTACGTATGGAACATAATCATCAAGTACAGAATATTTGATCAAAATTTGGTGAAACTTCTTAAAAACAGCTTGTTATAGCTACAAATGAAACAATCTTATCGTGGTTTGACATGTGCTATTTAGATTACGTACTACGTTTAAAACTCCTTGATACGTTTTATCAGATAAGTAAATTTTTCCATTATGGGTGATAATTTAATCTGCTGGCTGACGAGAGCCAATCAGGATGTAGCGTGATAGATTACATGACTTAAGGCTGCATCCTGATTGATTCCCACCAGCAGAGACATATGTAAGCGAATCAAGCAAAAGAGCATAATATGCCACTGGTCATAATTTTCTGTCAGATCTTAATATTGTAAAATATTAGATATTTTGTTTTATTAATACATCAAAACACAATTGTAGGATTAATATAATATAGACACAACGCTTGTTTTATTCGTTAAATAATATTAATATTTCAAAGATTTATATTTAAAGGGCGTCATAACGTCTAATTGATTGTGCATTATTTTTCCGAAAGAAAATTATAGTAAGACAAATAAAAATTTGTATACGTTTTCTAATATCTTACTTATTGTTCACCCGATATATCGACGACTTGGATTGTGCGCAGTCTCTTGATCAGTGACACTCATTGTAATCGCTTTTGTATTATACATATGGTATGCACATATTTAGGAATATATTTGATAACGATGTTAATTATGCTTTTAATTATGCTACGATTATTATGTAAGTAAACAATTTTATTCACTTTCTCAAAAATCTTACGTTTTTGTTAAACTATTTCCAAATAAAAAAACACAATTGAGAGAATCAGTTTATTTTAAAGAAAATATGGCATATTATAAATTGTTATATATATTTTACTTATATATCATTTTCTTATAAGTTTTTATGCAATATCTTTGTATTTTTTTATTATAAACATTTTTTCAACCCATTTTACGTTTTCCACAAACAGAAACATTATAAGTTTCTTGGCTAATCCAAAGTTACAAATTACTGCGATTATCGTATTGTTAACAACTAACGTATCGACTCTACCACTTGATTTTTGTTTGAGAACCTTCACATGAAAACCTTGATGTTCATATTCCTCGTGCACCCTACTGTAGTCGCAGTTGCTCCGACGTCGTAGACTGGCGTTGTCGAAATCGCTGTTGAAAACGAATACCTGTACAGTATCAGAAGATATTAGCGACTATATTTACTGCTACAGTTGTTGTGTGACTGTTATTTTGCTATAATAAACTTATCTATTATTGCAGCAAGTTTTACCGACAGTGGAATTTGTTCGACGACATATTGATGTAGAAATACAGCTGACATACACATACCGTGTTATCGTGAGTATTATTTACGGGCTGATAAAAGTTATACATATTTACTCAATGGTTTAATTTTCATGGCGGTTTGAATTGTTTTTGCTCACAGTTTGAAAACCTGATTCATATCTTATTAATGCAAAAATATTATGTTATAAATGAAAGAAACATGTAAAATCTTTTATCAGATAATTAAATCTTCTTTATGTGTGCGATGTTAATTAGCTTCTTATCAGAAGTGCCGTACTTGATTCATCGTTGCGTATAGTTGGTTTCGTATGAGCGAGCGTATTGTTGTTAAATAAAATGCGAATTGTGTGTTTAAAATTTGACAAAATTGAGAAATTTATAGTTATTTATTACAATATAATTTTGTTTTAATGTAGTAGTGTCACACTGTTTTAACTACATCATAATAAAAATTATATTATTCTAAGATGTATTGTGTCATGTAAGAAATTAATTATACAGTAATAAAAGAATATTTTTGCAGTCTATATCAATTTAAGTACATTAATAAACAAAAATTTGAAAATTTGCACATTGCTTTCTTATCATCTGGGCAACTTGATTTTTTATTTGAAAGGTACAAATTGGAAATTTGCACATTACTTTGTTATCTAAGCAAGTTATTATTTTTAATTTTGGCTTTATCATAGAGGGAGCTTTATGAGTAATAATATTAATATTTTAAAGATTGATATTTAAAGGGAGTCATAAAGTTTGATTGTTCATTATTTTTCCGAAAGAAAATTATAGTAACCTAAATAAAAATTTATGAGTAAGGTATAAATGAAAACTGTTCACCATGAAAGCCATGTGCAAGTTTCTAATTTTTCTCCTATGTGCATACAGGCTTTTATTAGCTTCCTCATAGAGGAAGCTTCGTGTGTAAATTCACATTCTGAAGAAGCAATTTCCGATTTGTTCCTTAACTCATAAAGCTTCCTCCATGAGGAAGCCAAAATTAAACATGCCAAAATAAAACAACAACTTGCCTAGATGACGAAGTGATGTGCAAACTAATTTGTACAGGAAGCAATAAAGATATATTTTAATTTGCACAAATTTTGAGAATTGTATTTTCCACAGTATAACATGTAGAGTTTTTTCCATAGATTTTACAATTTTAGGTAACCACAATCAAGAATGGGAGACGGTAAATTCCAATTCTCTATAGATCGTGGAGGCACGTTCACTGATGTATACGCTAGATGCCCTGGAGGGAAGATCCGAGTAATGAAATTACTGTCGGTAGATCCTAGTAATTATAACGATGCACCGACAGAAGGCATTCGTAGAATATTAACAGAGGTATGTTATAGATAATTAAAATTTATGAAAAAAAGATTTTACAATTTAGAGCTCATTAGCAAAAATATATAATTTTTTGTCTGCACAATGGATTGCAGCTAATAGTTCACAAGTATGTAATTTGTAAAAGCAAAGATAGTAAAGCTGCAAATTAGATAAATTATTTAAAAGTTGCTTGAAAAGATTTGTTAGCGAAGATATATTAATAGTGAATTGCATCACACAGAATAACATAATTAAATGCACGAAATATCTTATAAAATTTGTGAAATTATTTATAAAATTTTATATATTTTACAAATTGTCTATTAATTTTAGGAAACAGGCATCAAAATGGATAGCGTAATCGACACCTCGAATATAGACTGGATCAGAATGGGAACAACAGTTGCCACTAATGCATTGTTGGAAAGAAAGGGCGCGAAAATGGCGCTATTAATAAATGAGGGGTTCATGGATCTTTTGTACATCGGTAATCAATCCCGGCCAAATATTTTTGATCTGGTTGGTATAGTTGAATTTAACAAATACTTCTATTTAAAATAATATTGCAGCTCACAGCATATATCACTTTATCGTGAAATACTTACAATTAGCGAAGAAATTTATAAGAGTATTAATTTTATCATTTGAATTATCCTTTGTTAAATATTTACAGGAGATAGTGATGCCGCAGGTTTTATACAAACATGTAATAGAAGTAAAGTGCAGGGTAATTCCTGCTCTACCGGGAAGCTGTTGTATGGAAAACAAGTCGTGGCGAAAGGTAAAAGGTTCTACCGGTGAGGATCTGTTTGTTATTCAGGAACTCGATGAGACACAATTGAAAGAAGATTTGAAAAGACTTCGTAGTCTGGAAATAGATAGTCTCGCTGTCGTTCTGGCACACAGCTATACGTTAGTAAATGCAATTTTTAAATTTCTTTTCAACACATTCAGTTTACATTTTATTTCAATCTTGATCATATACTTATATGAATCTTATATTTTTTACGATATAGTTATGCAGTTAACGAGATTAGAATTGGCGAATTGGCGCGAGAAGCAGGTTTCTCACAAGTATCTCTTTCACATGAGGTAATGCCAATGACAAGAATGGTTCCTAGAGGCCTTACAGCGTGTGCTGATGCTTATTTGACGCCACATATTAAAAATTATGTACAGGTAATGTTTCTTTATAATAATTATATTTGTGGTGTATAAAAATTTGGATTGTTTCATCATTTGTATACATATATAACTCTTTTTAAAATAATAATTAAAAAATATTTAAGGTCCAGCTTTTTTTATTTACAAACTATAATAAGTAAATTTTTAGGCTTTCTCTCAGGGATTTAAAGACAACTTGAAAGGCGTGAACGTATTATTCATGCAGAGCGATGGCGGATTAACACCTATGAATTTGTAACTATTAAAGTTTGCAGAAATTATTATTAAGGATTTTACTAGTGTATAAAATTAACTAACATTATGTTTTGTTGGCACATTAAAGTTTTAATGGGTCGCGTGCTATACTTTCTGGACCAGCTGGTGGAGTCGTTGGATACTCAATGACGACATATGGAAAGGAGACTGATTTACCAGTTATCGGATTCGATATGGGCGGCACGTCCACTGATGTAAGTCGATACGGAGGAAGTTACGAGCACGTTTACGAGAGCACCACGGCAGGCATCGCTATACAAGCCCCGCAGGTATCGCTCTTTTAAAAAATGAATATTAGTATGTTGTTTCAAATCCATTGAAATCTTTTAAGGTTTTTGCTAGAAGTATTAAGTTGCGTTTTCTCGTAAAGAATATATTTTGCTGAAATAAAACATTGGGTTGA